GAGAGAGAGAGAGAGAGAGAGAGAGAGAGAGAGAGAGAGAGAGAGGCAGGCCCTGCAGCCAGGCCCTCTTCTTCTTTCCCCCCTACCTTTGCAGCCACGCTGCAGAGGAGGGCTGTTTTTCCCTCTCGCTGTTTAGTAAGAGTGGATGCGAGGCTCAGCATTGGAGCAGAGCCAAGTGGACAGGCTGGAGGAGGCTCGATTGCTAGGGAGAAAATTCTCAGGCAAGAATTGGAGACAGACCCTCGAGAGAGAGGGGCCTGGAGGATGTCCTTGCAGTGATTTAAATGGAGGACAACTGAAAACTCAAAGGAGGAATCAACCTTCCAGGACGCAGATGCTTGATAAGCTGAACTACACCGCAGCAGCCTACGAACCGATGTATGACACTGAGAGGGAGAAATCACACAGCAGCAGAAGAGCAAGGACTCAAAGCTATGTTCTTGGACTTCATGAGGAGGAGAGACTGCAACAAACAACTGGAGCTTGGTGAGGGGGGAGCGTTCAGACCCGGAACACTCCCACAAGAGGGACTGGTTACTTTCCAGCCTTGAAAGGCTTCTTTCTGGACTAAAGTTAAAGGAAGGGGCTAAAAGGACTGACAGAAATGTATATATATATAGTTGCTTTTACTTTGTACAGTATATTTATTTGTGTAAATAAATGTATATACTTTCCCTTCCCCTATAGAAGCCTCTGGCCTGAAAGTTTCTCTCCGGTGTTAGGATAAATTGTGGGAAGGGGTTGGGGGAAGCCTGGGAATTGGATTTTTGGATTTCTAATGTGGCTCAAACTGCCACACTACTCCAGGTAAGATACAAACAGAAGGTCTGGCAAATCTGTAGAATTTAATTTGCCAGGACCATGGAAATTTTAGCAATTAAGTCCGAAGCTACTGCTGAGTTTTAGAAATTCAAGGATACCACTCGAAGTCCCCTTCTCATGTGCTCCATGGCACAAAAATGCAGAAAAATCCTAGAGAAAAACTAAAACCATTTACGAACAGCATCATGTTTTTTCATCACATTGTAAGTAAGGTGTTGCTTCAGCATGAAATTTAATGCCACTGAAGTGACTGTATCTCACTGAGGGAGCTGGGGTTGTTTAGCCTGGAGAAGAGGAGGCTCAGAGGTGACCTCATCACTGTCTATAACTACCTGAAGGGAAGTTCTAGCCAGGTGGGGGTTGGTCTCTTCTCTCAGGCACTCAGCAATAGGACAAGGGGGCATGGGCTTAAGCTCCGCCAGGGGAAATTTAAGTTGGATATCAGGAGAAAATTCTTTACAGAGAGAGTAATCAGGCATTGGAATGGGCTGCCCAGAGAGGTGGTGGATTCACCATCCCTGGAGATTTTTAAACACAGATTGGACGTGGCACTGAGTGCCATGATCTAGTAAATGGACTGGATTTGGACCAAGGGTTGGACTCGATGATCTCGGAGGTCTTTTCCAACCCAATCGATTCTATGATTCTATGATTCATTAGAGAAGAACATCTGTGCAGCAGTACATCATGAGGTATGGCAATTTCCATTTGAAAAATCTTCCTTGGATGGTCTTGCACAATGTGTGATCCACAGTTCTTCCATCATGTTAAGCAACTATTTCTTCAATATGCAGAAATGTCTAGAGCTATCGTATGTAACTAGAGTTACTAAATTTCCTATTTTTAATTCTATACAATTTTCACATTTGTTGACAAATACTTCAACCTAATTACACTTCTGTCTCCCGACTCTTGGGGACCTTAACTGTTCTGAAAAATGTGAATGTAGTCAGTGCATATAAAATTATATTTCCCTGAAATGGTGTGCTTGCAGTATTCCATATGTATAAATAGTTTTAACAAAAATTCTACTTACACGGGGATGTTTTCAAAGGCATCTTCAAAGTTTTCCTGTAGAAGAAAAAAAGAAAAGTTCAATCTAATGTGTGCATGTTTTCTAACACAGGAGAAAGTTAACAGTACCAGACAGCACTTAATTCTGTAACATACAGTAATAATCAGAGTATTCACAATCTACTGACTGTTAAGCTTTCAGTGCAAATCATTACACAAATAGATTTCCTATGGGCCTACTATGTCAGACTAGCATGAGTTAAATTAAACAACAGACATTTTCCTTTTCAGATTCTGAAACTTCCACCATATACATCACAGAACGCAATACAAATGTATGCCTCAGGAGTTTGTACAGCACATCTGTCATATTCAGGATGCACTAGCTGAACAGTATATCTACACATGAAAGAAAAAGTGTTCTATGCATGTAACTGATAAGCAAGTTCACCAGAGTATATATACTAGGTCCAGGATGCATTACAGCTAGTGTGCATATACAGCCAGCTCACACATTAATGGCAGTTATGTGAACAGCTTGGTCCAGACATCTAGAAGATGTTTCTTTCCACCTAGATTCAAAGCTCTTTCAACCTAAGTTCAAATTTCAAATTAAAATAAAGGAAGATACACAAATGTAAAAATGAGTAGAATGGTTCAGCTTGCAGGTCACCCATTTCTGTATCCAGTTTCCAAAACTGGTCCGTAGAAGTGTGTAGCAAAGACAAATGGGCAAACAGTCCTCCTTCAGACACCCCTCTCCACTCCACACTTTTCAGCTTTTGGAGACTCTGAGAACTCCAGAGACACAGTTTGGCATCTGGTGATTCAGTAGGTCTCTGTTCCAAGTACCAGTCTAGTTTCCTCAATCCCATGTAGACTCCCTTTAATTCATGAGTTCATAACATTAGTAAGGAATTTCACAAGTCTTTCAGGTGTGGCCTCACCAGTGCCAAGTAAAGGGAGAACTTGGCAGCAGCCAATGAAATGATCCTCCTGATCTAAGGAGAACTGAACTGAGTTTCAAAAAGCTGAACAAACCCAAAAGGAACACCCTGAACAGAAACCCTTACCCCTGTCTCACTCCAGATACTGAGACGTCACCAGTGTTCTAATAAAGTCCTTCTCCGAAGACTGGTTGCCTCCTCTAGTCACTTGTAGACAAGAGGAGAAATTCAGCAAAACAGACAAATAAAAAACACTTATGGGTTTTTTGAGCACACTTCCAATTCTCCTAGGACAACAAACTTGACAAGCAAAAGTCAAGGTACTTTTAACTGTCATGTACGTAATAAAGAACAGTAACAAGCAGAAATTTACAGAAAAATGCAAAGATATCTGTGACATGAACCCTTGCAGGCTCTTTCCAAACTTTGTATATGAGCAGCACCTACATACAAGAAGAAATGGAGTGAAAATTTGCATTCTGTCTAAACAAGTACCTCCTCTGCCTGGCTTCCTCTGAATTTTGATCCCTGTTATTCACACTGGTCAAATGCACATCTAAACATTTAGCATAATGAAGTACAGCCTTGGTATTTTTCCTCACATACCAAGGCACAGGGAATAGTCACAGTCTCTCACAAGATTCCTCAAGGGAGCTAAAGACATCACTGAAGGGGACTTCTATGCTAAAAAAAACCAACAAACCAACCACCAACCAACCAAAAAACACCAAACAAAAAATCCAATCCATAGTCTTTTTCCGAAGTTTCCCACGCATTCCCATTCCCACCGCATGTAAAATAGGTATTAGAAAGCATTCAATTTGATGTCTTGGTCCTACTTCTCCTGACTCACACAAGTCTGCAGTTGTCTCTACAGACTCTGAGATTTCCAATCATCATCATGGCTAGGCTTCGCGAATGAAGATTTGGGAAGGGCTCTACCCATGTTTGTTGCAAGCGCGTTGGTGGTTGAAAAGGCCAATACGAGATAGACGCGTCCAGTTGCAAGACAGGCATGTCTGGTTGCAGAAGGCACAGCGGAAAGACTCCTTAGGTGGTAAATTCTGCAAGGCACAATTCTTTCTGCGTTGTCTTTTCTCCTCAAGGGTGATCTTGTGTGCTTTCTCAAAAGCATCAGCAGCATTATAGCTGGTGTGTCTCCAGGTCTCCTGATTGGAGGTCAGAGTAGACCAGTTATGTTGATCAATATGGCCAAGGCTGAGATGTTGTTTCAGGGAGTCCTTGTATCTTCTCTTCGGGGCTCCTCTCTTGTGGCAGCCGGTGGCAAGTTCACCATAAAGCAAGATCTTAGGGAGGTGGTGGTCCTTTATCCTTGAGACGTGTCCTGCCCAATGCAGCTGTGTTCTCAGTAACATGGCCTCAATACTTGTGACTGCTGCTTGTTCTAGAACAGATGTATTGGTCACATAATCTGACCAGTGGATGTTTAGGATTGAACGGAGACAGCGTTGATGGAAGCGTCCTAGGAGACGCACGTGGTGGCGGTAGATGACCCATGATTCAGATCCATATAAGAGAGTAGACAGCACAATGGCTCTGTAAACACTGATCTTGGTGCTTTTCTTCAGGTGTTTATTACACCATACGCTTTTATGAAGCTTACGGAAAGCACTGTATGCCTTTGCTAACCTGTTGTCTATCTCTCCGTCAATCTTACCATCCGAGGAGATGAGGCTACCTGGGTAATTAAACTGCTGGACTGATTTGAGCTCTGATTCACCAATGGTGATGTGGGGATGATGGAAGACTTCCTGAGGTGCAGGTTGATAGAGAACTTCAGTCTTCTTTAAGCTGACTTCCAGCCCAAAGAGCTCAGCAGCGTCTGCAAAGCAGGATGTTAAACGCTGCAGAGCTGCTTCTGTGTGGGCAACAAGGGCGGCATCATCAGCATAAAGCAGCTCCAAGACAAGATGGTTTAAGGTCTTAGTGCGGGCCTTCAGTCGACTTAGACTGAAAAGGCTTCCATCAGTACGATATCAAATATAGATACCGTCCTGATCATCGAGGTCTGCCATGGCCCTTTGGAGCATCATGCTGAAAAAGACTGTGAATAGGGTAGGATCGAGAACACAGCCTTGTTTCACACCATTCTTTATTAGAAAGGGTTCGGAGAGTGTGTTGCCATATCTGACTTGGCCGCATTGATCCTTGTGGAGTGAGATGATCATTTTAAGGAACCTGGGGGGACAACCTAAACGTTCCAAAATCTGCCACAGACCTTTTCTGCTCACAGTATCAAAAGCCTTGGTGAGGTCGACAAAGGTTACATAGAGTCCTCTGTTCTGTTCCCTACACTTCTCTTGCAGTTGTCTGAGAACAAATACCGTGTCTGTGGTACTCCTGTTGGCTCTGAAACCACACTGACTATCAGGTAGAATTCCTTCTGCTATAGCGGGTATTAATCTGTTCAAAAGTATTCTTGCCAGGATTTTGCCAGCAATGGAGAGCAGAGTAATACCACGGTAATTTGAACAGTCTGATTTAGTACCTTTCTTCTTATACAAAGTGATGATGACTGCATCACAAAGGTCTGATGGTAGTTTGCCTAGTTCCCAACAGCACACCACAAACTTGTGAAATTTAGCATGGAGTGCAAGGCCCCCATGTTTCCAGACTTTGGGTGGAATTCCATCAACCCCAGCTGCCTTGTTGATTTTCACCTGCTGTATGGCCTTGAGGGTTTCTCCCAAAGTGGGGGCAGTATCCAATTCATACTTTACCAGTTGTTGTGTGATGGACTGAATTGCTGAGTCTTGGACTACACGGTTGGTACTGAAAAGAGTCTGAAAGTGTTCAGACCATCGATTCAGAATGGAGGTTTTATCTGTAAGAAGCATTTGCCCATCAGCGCTGAGTAGAGGGCTTTGTACCTGGTATGTAGGCCCATATGCTGTTTTCAGGGCCTCATAGAATCCTTTGTGATCACCCCTATCTGCGCATAGTTGAGTTTTTTCAGCTAGATCAATCCACCACTTGTTCTGGATGTCACGGAGTTTCTGTTGGAGCTTGCTGCATGCAAGACGAAAGGCTGCTTTTCTTGTGTGACAGGATGGCAGTGCAAGGTGTGCTTGGTGGGCGGTTCTCTTCTTCCTCAACAAGTCTTGGATTTCTTGATTGTTTTCATCAAATCAGTCCTTGTTCTTCTTGAGGGAGAACCCTAAAGATTCTTCAGAGGACTGCAGGATGCTGTGTTTAATATGGTGCCAAGTTGATTCAGGGGAGGAATCTGCGGAATCTGTGGAAAGGTTTTCGAGCCTAGTTTGAAGGTTAGCCTGGAATTTCTCTCTTACTGTGGCTGAGATTCCCTATAGAATAGAGGGAATATATAGAAAAAAAAAATGCTGGAAGCACTAGAAGAGAAGTATAGCCATTTTCTACTCCAATCCATGCCCATTACAACAAAAGTTATGTCATTCTAAAATGTAAAGAAAAAAAAAAAAAAGACTGCAACTGAAGTACCTAGAACAGCTCCTCCCAGATTAAGTTCTAGGATTCATCATATTCCTAACAAGATAGAAAAGGTTTGCAAAGTACTCAGAACATATTCACTTGTTTCCAGTAGTCTGTTAAAATCTACCTGTAAATTAAATCTGTTTGACAAAAAAATTGAGTGAAGTGTTACATACCATACACAGCATCTTAAAGACCTTAAACTATATTTAGTATACAAATGTATACAGGTATGCACATAATATATGCCAATATAAAAAATAAAATCAACTGATTGATAAAGTTTATCTATTCCTCAGAGTACAGAAGCAGCCCAAAACAATGGACACTTTCACATTCAGTTAAAGACCAGTAAAGTTCTCATTTTCAAGTGCTCATTCCAACAGTTCAGCTTCCAGCTGACACAGCTGAAATGTGGAGAGACTGAGGCTGATGCAGTTCTTCATTTATTTCCTTCACCTAATCCAGGTTTGTCCTGCAGCAAGTACCAAAGGTCCTGCTTCAGTATGTCCATGTTATAACGGCCACTCACATACAGCAGAAAACTTCAGGAAATACGAACTGCAGTTAAATCCACAAAAAGGACAATAAAGCCTTTTTTCAGACATTCTATCCGTAAAAAGAAATACATTAACGTTT